ACACACACACACACACACACACACACACACACACACACACACACACATACAGTCAATTACCCAAACACACGCCTCCTTAAGCCACTGAATAGTTGCTGCATAATTCTGAGAAGCTGACTAATGTTCCTGCTACCAGTGTTGTTGCTTTTGTTGCTTGTTTGTTCTTTTGTCTTCCCTGTGTCCTTTTTGCAGGAGCTCCTATAGGTTCTCCACCTGGATTGCCCACACGGAATTTTTTTTTTCATGATCTTTCATAGTTTTGATGCCTTCAGTGTGAATCTACTATTTTCATAGTCATGAAAATAAAGAAAACTCTTTGAATGAGAAGGTGTGTCCAAACTTTTGATTTGTACTGTATGTATAGATGTGCATATACTGTATGTATATGCTGTTGATTTATTTATGGAGCTAGTAACAAAAATAATTTCCCTCTGGGATTATAAAAGTATTTCTGATTCCGATTGACCAAGTTGCAGCTTGTTCGCTGCCATTTAAAAAACTGTGCTCGTTTCATGGGGACCCCAACGTGACTGGTCTGTGTAGCAGAGTCCAGATTAGAACAAGGGGTCCTGGGGGGATCAGGCGTTTAAGGGGTTAGTGTCCACAGGCAATATAATTTGGTTTGAGTCCTTGAAAAAGGTTTAGGGTTTAAACTCCCCAATAATAACAGTAGTAACAATTTAATATGTAAATAATAAACAATTTTCTTAATCTGTGGGGAGAACACCATACATCCGTTTCACTGAAACCGCTTGACACCTGCGTGTTCTGCTTCCCATCAGAATAAAACTCTACATTGATTGGGCCTATTTGTTGTCCCTCCATGTCCGACAGATCGGCTACTTCATTGGTTACTTACATGTCAGTTACATCTTATTCTGCAATCTGATTGGTTCATACCACCTCGTGCTCTGCACACAGAAATCCAGCTATTCGGGTTTATACATACGGCTGTTTACACCACGTATTTTGTTTTAACCGTTGATCACCAAATATAACTGTCATGGTTATTTTGGCGTAGCCTTCTTATGGAGTATTCTCATCTGATTAGGGTGATTTTAAACAAGCATTATCGTGTACAGAGTCTCGCGGCCAGCTTTGTGACGCGGCGCTCCCTCCCGTTGAATGGTGGCACGAGGATGGCACTGCATCGGAAATTCTTTATATTTGTCATCAAAGGGCTTTTTAAATTAGATTTTAATTAGCTGTTTAAAAAAACGCTTGATGCTTGCGCGGGAGTGACGATAAGCAAGCAGTCTGGATTATGGAAGTGGAATGCAGGTAAGCATAAAGGATTTTATTTGAGGTTTCTCTTTTTTAAATGAATTTCAGTGTTATCTGAAGCCCCAACGGGCCAAGAAGCTTAATAGTTTATAAGCTATCACTCCAAACCAGTGGAAGTTAAGCAATCCCAGGGATAACAATCCTTGTTGACATTCGACAAACAATAGCTTCATCTGCCCGTTTCATTTTTTTATGTGAAAAATGTTATGCCTAAATAGATGCGGCCCATTCATTAGCTAATGAATCATACTTCTTGCTAGACGTAGCAAGCTGCTGTGTTCCCTCAACATCCAGTCCTCATTTTTTATGCCGTTACACAAACATGTTGCAGTGAGAGGCTGGGACAGTTGGAACGGCAACGAAGCCATGATGTGTCATTTTGGCCACAGACATTGAGTGTGCCATGTAATCAGCCGCCTGCAGAAGCATGTAGGCCTGTAAGTCAGGTATCCCCAAACGTCCGTCAATGAACCGTCTTGTGCCGATGAACAGACGATAAGATTCATTTCTCGCCAAGTCTGACACGTCAAAACAGGGTGTTAAAGGACTAATCTTCAGTTCATATACAGAGCATGTATGTTGGAAGATGCATTGCAGAGTTTCTTTTGTGTTGTATCAGCAAGCATCACTTTTATGTCACGATTGACGCAGTTTATGCTTGTCATTGGGTTTTCTGAAACGTAGTTTAACAAAGGTGGATTCAGAATGGTTTACACATCTTAAAAGATTGTTTTTTAAGGTAAATCCTAACAATTGTGCTTGACCCCCTCATAAAATAGATAATTAACACTAATCTAAACACAGATGACCAAAGACATGTTAGTGTTAGAAATGTAAGACAATTCTAATTACAAGATATGCAGGAAATACTGGTGAACTACCATAATATTTGGCCTATCAAGCAAGATATGAACTACATTATTGAAGCTTGGTGCAGATCCTTAAAAATTATAGCATGATTCATTTTTACACAATTGACTAATTTACAAGTACCAGGTACTGTGGTACGCATAGAACTTGTCTGTTCAGTATTGTTCTTTTTCCAAAAGAGGGTGTAAAATTATTAGGGAATAGGCTTTCGATAGTTCCCACCTGCATTTCTAAAATAAAGCAAATTGTAATGTTTCATTAACGAAATTTCAAACTCTGGCTTTTGTTAGTATGAATTAATATATCTATGAGTGAGAGGCCCCAAGGGAGAAAATCTACAATTACTTTGACATACCTACATATACTCTCACAAAACACTTCCATTCTCTTGCATAAATGCAACCAAACAATTTACAAACAACTATACTCCCCATACCTCACACAAACACCACCAAACGCTCTTACATATACCATTAAAGTCTCTTACATATACTATCAAACTCTCTTGCACCTACCATCAAACTCTCGTACATATACTATCAAACTCTCTTCCATATACCACCAAACTCTCGTACATATCACATAACACTTGTAAATGTAAGACAGTTTGATGGTGAATGTATGACTGTATAGTGGTCTGCCTGAGAGTTTGATTGAAACTGAAGTTAACGTAAATTCTTAGTTTCTGATTAGAACCCTGTAATATGGGGGGAAAAAATTAGGGTTTCACGGACAGGAACGTAGTTGAGCAGGAGCGACTTGTGGCGGCGATGGATATTTTTAATTATATTATTAATGCTCCTACAATCATATTTGCAGTATCTGAAATGTTAGATAGAAACCGACAGCCTGCATCAGACGCCCCATCGAGTTGAATTCTAATGTTTTGATGAATTCTAATGTTTTGTGATCGGAGGCTTGCTATTACATATATTTCCCATGCATTCAGAGTATGGTTATGATTTACTTTTAGTTATTTCATTTAGACTTGCATTCACTCTGTGTTTTCTGTTTCTCTTTATTTCTTTCTCTTTTTCTGTCGGCACCAGACATGATACCTGTCATAAATGATATGGTATGGTATGATGCATTAGGTACATGCCCACCAAAATGATCATTCACATATTGTATTACACTCAGTGATCATGTGAACAGGACTCTAGTGCGTTCAAGTCAGAGGCAACTTGCCAATGAGACTCGGTCGTGATGTCCAGCCTATTTTACGAGGTGTCGCCAGCCTGAGAATATATCCATAAATAAGTTCAAATGAGAGCTCTTTGTGGCCCTGCATGGCCACAGTCACAATGAGACCAGCGCTGATACTTGTGACCTGAATAAATTACACATTTCACTACTAATGACTTCTCTGGTTTGTTTTAAGCTTCCAACAAAAAAAACATGCTAATAGTAATTTGAAAAATCTTCCTGACAATACAAGCCAAGGCCTCATCAAACATTTCTGATTAAGTTATTAGGCCCATTTGAAGTTGCTGTCTGTACATGTGCAATATTCTTTTGCTTATTTCAAAGGATTTAGCAATTCTTTGCCAATTCATTCCAAATGATAAATAGCTTACCAGTTCTTAAAATTGGTGGCATTCTTGAAAAAATAAGGGTCCCATGACTCCACAGATTGAATGTTCATATGAATTTAAAAAATGACAGAAATACACATAGAGACTTTCCAGAACATCTTAAAGTTGAGAAACACCAAAATCTTCATGGGATATTGAGAAAAAAGCTTAGAGTGTTTGTGTATATCCCATAAGCTCATACATTAATCTGCCCATAATTGTATCGTCAAGTCTAAACAATCCTGCATCTTTTGTTTCTCTTAAAAATCAAAACATTAATAAAGTGATGCTGTGTGACCATCTATAGCACAAATGTAGCCTGTAACAGTAGTAGCAGACCAATGAGGGGATGAGAATTTAAAAAGCCTTCCTGTTTAATCAAAGTAACTTCCTTTACTAATACTGTGCAATTCTTCTGATTGTATTATATGCGTATATGCAGGAGAGTTTGATGGTATATGCAAGAGAGTTTGATAGTATATGCACAAGAGCTTTGTGGTGTTTAAGGCATTGGAAGTGAAGTTGTGTTTGTAAGAAGGTTTGGTTGTATTTATGCAAGAGAAAGGATGTGTTTGTATGAGAGTATATGTAGGTATGTAGGAGAAAGTGTAATTTTAGTCCCGTGGGGTGTGTGTGTGTGTGTGTGTGTGTGTGTGTGTGTGTGTGTGTGTGTG